TGGGCTTGCTCTGGGTGTGGGTAAAGCAGGGCCTGAGCAGGAACAGCTCTGGTCACTTCCCTGGGGCCTGGTCCAGGTCACTGCACACAGTAGGGGCGCAGCATTTCATGTTTGCTGAATTAGGAGTGCTCACAAGCTCACGGCAGATTCTGCCAGCCTTGGGCGGACAGCACCTTCCTCTGGGAGGGGAGGTCCTGGGGACCTGGGGAGGCTTGAAAGCCTATCAGCATTCTGGGAACATTTGGCCCATGTGTCATGAAAATGCCTTTGAATGATGCCATCCTATCAAGATATAAACCTCATGGTGAGAGGGTATGCAGGGTCAGGCAGGGATGGCCTGAAACAGGCCCATCTGGCACCTATCTTTTTTATTTTATGTATATGAATGCTTTGCTTGCACATATGTAATTGCACCCATGCACACAATGCCGCTGTCATGTGGGTGCTAGGACTGAACCCAGATCTTCTGCAAAAGCAGCCGGTGCTCTCAGCTGCTGCACCGGCCCTCCAGCCCTACTTTCATTTTCTTGCTCGTGTTCCTCACGGTGAACTTATGCTATTTTTTTAATAGTGAGAACATTGGTTATTTTTGTTGTTGTTTTGTTTTGTTTTTTGAGACAAGGTCTCACTTTGTAGACCAGGTTGGCTTCAAACTCATAGAGATCCACCTGCCTCTGACTCTTAGGCGCTGGAATTAAAGGCACGTGCCACCATGCCCAGCATAGTGAAAACATTCCTAGTGGCAATGCTAAAGCTAAGAGCCCAGGCTGGAGTCAGAGAACTGGGCCTCAGAGGTGGCTCTCTGCCCCTTGATGACAGGGGGCTGGTGCCAACATTAGCCAAGAAGCCAGTCCAGAATGAGTCAGGAGCTGGGAGGTAGAGAAAGGAGTACCTGCTGGGTGCTAGATGCAGAGTAAGGCACCTCACCCAGGGAAATGAAACAAGAGGGCAGAGCCAAGCACACAGAGGTTGGCAGAGCCAGGCCAGCCCCACTGCTGACCCAAGGCCTGTGCTGAACGCTAGCTAGCAAACTCGGGGAGAATATGAAGCCCCACTGAGAAAGAACATTGACAAGGCCACAGAAACTCCTGGTTAGCAGTGTCTGCAGCCTGTTTCCCTATGGGAGATCCTGCTGTGCACTGCAGGGTGTGCCAGTGGCTATGAAGGTCACAGAGGCCATAGAGTCACTGTCCTGTGTCTGGCAGAGGGTGCCAGGCTGTATCAGCTCTATACAGAGAAGCGAGGAGGGGTGACATTGGGTGACACTGTTTTTTCTAACAGTGAATCAGAAAGTCAACCTCTGGATTGGCAAGGCCGAGCTTTTAACAATCACTGCTTCATGCTAGGGTTTCTGGACTCTGGGAGGCACCCTGTCATCACTCAGTACAAAAGAGTTACTGCAGTGAGCATTTACTGAGTACTTACTACACACCCAGTGCAGTGCCAAGGGCTTGCTCACCTGATCTTCACATAACCTCTACACAGGGTAGATTTTTTTTCAAATTCTAACAGAGTGAAGCCTGTGAAAGGTGACCTGGCTCAAGGTCATGTGGCCAGGAGTTGGCAGAGCTGAGTGGGGCCTGCATGGAGCAGAGCTGAGAGCTCAGTCATCAGACTGGAATGCCACACCAAGGTCCTCTAGTTTTGTGACCTCAGCCCTGGCTGGAATCACCCGACTTTAAAAAGCCACTAGCAAGCCAGCAAGATGGCTCATTGGGTAAAGATGCTTGCTGCCAAACCTGACCACTTGAGTTTCAGACCCAGAACCCACATGATAGGAGAGAATGGGCTCCCACAAGTTGTCTTTTGACCTCCCCACATGCACTGACATGTGCCCACATACACACCTATGCATACAAATAAATGTAAAAAAAAAAAAGTTTAAAGCTATCAGTGATGGAGTCTGACCCAGACCAGCAAGGGCAGCAACACCTGTGGCAGAGCACAGCTTTGGACAAGTTACCCAACCTCTGTGAGTTTCAGTTTCCTGGTTTGTTAAATGGCGATGAGATGGGCCCTTATGTACTTAAGTTGGGCAGAGACTCAAAGATGATGGGTGCACAGCACTTAGGTGTCTTCTGGAAGCTCTGGAGTGACTGAGAGCAGCTAGGGCCAGTGCAGTGAACAGTAGTGTCTGCAACAGCCATATCAGAAAGGCAGTGGGTGTGGTGGCACTTGGTCCATAGCGTGGCCAGTGCAGCAGCTGCAGTAAGAAGCTACCCTGACCAGTGCACACAGGTGGCTGCTTCCCAGAGCCAGGGCATCATGCCAGTCCATCATGTCAGTCTCCTTGCAGACTGACACCCGGTCCCCAAGGAGCAAGGAACAGGGAAGCCTGGAGGAACAAGTGAGCTGAGGGGGTTGTCTCTGGTCACTATTACCCTCCCCAGTGCTACAGCTGTGGTGGGCGTGGATGGAAGCAGGCAGAGGCTCTTGCTATCTTCAACCCAACAGCTGAGAACTAGTCAACCAGCATGCTCACCCACAGTGCTCCTCAGCCCCAGACCTGACCTGACCTGAGTATATCCAAATGTAGAGGAAATGAGCCCAAATGTGGCAACAGGCTGTTAGAATCACAACCAACCTGAGAGGGAAAAGCGGGTTGAGGTCAGGCTTTGGAGTCAAGACGGCCTCATACCGATTAGCTGCATGGCTTTGGACAAGTTGCCCAACCTCTGTGAGCTTCAGTTTCCTGGTTTGTTAAATGGGGATGAGAAAGGCCCTTATGTTCTGAAGTTAGGCAGACTCAAAGATGATGGACACACAGCACTTGGGAGTCTGGCCCACAAGGAGTTCTCAGTATTATTACTGCTTTGTGTATTACTTATTTCTGAAGGGCAGGGGCAGAGAACCCACAGGGATGCGGGACCTGGTCTCTTTCCCATTGCCTTCAAGTTCCAGGTAGTGACCACAGGCAATTCAGTCCAGCCCAGTTCTCATCCACCCTCTTCTTGAGGATGCTGGGAAAGGTGCCATCTGCCCCCTAGCGGTCAAGGGTAGATGTGCATTGAGTCATATGAACCAAGTCACACTGCTAGACCCAGCCCAGCCCAGTTTTACAGGACCTCCTGCAGATTGAGCTCCCAAGGCTCTGTAGGTAACATACTAATACACCAGCCTTCTGTGGGCCAGCCATCCCAGGAGCATGGGGGAAGAGTGTTTCCCTCACCCGGCTGGCTGACCTGAGGAAGAAAGGCAAGTGCCAGGCCACAGGTTCATTTCCAAGGCTTCAGAGCCCTGTGCACTGGTGGGTGCTTGTGGAGGGGGCAGCTCAGAGCACATATGTCCCTGTCCCCAGCAAGGGCCACGTGGAAAAGCCTGCCCCTCCCTGAGACAGGTACCAAAGTGGCAGCTCTATTCCTTCAGCCCCAGCACTCCCAGAGAGCGCACAGCTGGAGAAAGGGCCTAGGAGGAAAGAGCAGAGTACCAACCAGCCTTGCCTTCCCACACAGTCTGAAGGTTTGTTTGTGTAATATCTTTTTATTTCACCTCAGACAGCTTTCCCACAAAACCTCAAGTGAAGACAGAGAGAGCAGTCAGCATGCCTTGCCTCAGCTGGCCCATGGGTGGGGGCAGCAGGCAAAGATCACTGCCTAGGCAGTGCCCCCAAGGAGCCATTGATAGCTGGACAGGAAGCCAAGCCACACAGTTCCAACCTGTCTCAATGTTTGGCCAAGAGACAGAGAGGTTGTATAAATGAGGTGGAGGCCAGGCCCAGGCAAATGTACCCACAAGAGCTGCAGGGCTGTCCACACCCCCACCCCTCCCCATCCCCCATATCAGTCTGCCATCTCAGGAGACCCCACCAATGCCTGCCAGGCTCCAGAAAAGGCAGAGTATAGACGGGCTGCCTGGTAGAGCATCTTGGAGTCCTGAAGGCTCTGCCAGTGGGAAGGGTGTCACTGGCCAGCACAGAGGCCAAATCTAACCCTAGAATATTCCAGGGAGAGACTTCTCAGCAGAGCTGCAGCAGCAGATCATCTCAGAGGCCCAGGGCTTGCTGTATGGAGTCATTGAGGGAGGCAGCTGAGTGGACAGAAACCCCAGGTGCTCCAATACTGGTTTCCCAGCAGTCAAACCCGCAGCCAGTCAGGGCCTGCTTGGCTGCCTCCACCTTGGCTTGATCCATACCTGGGGAGGGAAGGCAGTCAGTGCTGGTGGCTAGTGCTCAGTGAGCCCAGACCCTTCTTCTAGGAACCCAAGGCTCATAGGCTCACTGCACCCCCATGAACCATGAGCCAAGCCCTACAACCTCCTCTTGACCCAGTCTTGCTATAAGCCAGCTGGTCATGTGGCTTCAGACAAGTGATTTCCCCACCTGGGCCTGTTTCCTCATCTAGGAACAGGGCTGACACCATGCCCCCACAGAGTGCCTGGCCAGCACCTGGTACACTGGGCATGTTCCTGGAGCATCAGTTCACTACCAGCATCTGCCCTGGACCAGGAATCACCAGTCAGGGCCAGGTGGGGCACCACTGACAATGAGGGGCCTTGGGATCCCTTGTGGGCCACACAGTGCAGGAGAAAGAGGGATGGTAAGTGGAAGGAGAGTGAGCAGAAGGCTGGAGGAGTGGGCAGAGGTGGGTGATATTGCCAAGTGCTGACTGTATACATACAATGGAAACCCTTTGCACCCTAGCATGGTGTGGTGCTCCCTCAAGCCTGTTACTGAGTCTTTTTTCCCAAAAGGCCAACAAGAGTGCCTTTTCACTTTGCCACCAAATCAACTCCACCCATTTCCCAGTGAGATAGACTGGGGGAACTGTACAGGGGGCCCCTGCCCTGGATTCTGAAGCTCATGGTAGAAACAGCCACGTTATGAGGAGCCTGTCACCCTTGTTTTACCAAAGAGGAAACAAAGACCTGGGAGTTTAATTCATCCAAGGTCACAAAGCAGAGCTCACATATCTCCTCTCCCTTTCTAGGGAATTCTCCAGCAGGCTCCGTATCACCTCCAGGCTAGCACCTCTCCCCCATCCCCTGTACCTGGATTCAGGAGGGTGATGCCACAGCCACCACCACCTGCACCAGTAAGTTTGCTGTGTAGTCCATGCGCAGCCGTGACTTGACAGAGCTGGTCCAGAGAGGTATGGCCCACTCCAAGGGCATTCAGATGATGCTGGTTCATGTCCATTAGCTCCTAGAGAAGGTGCCACCTTTTCCTGCCTGGTCTGCCCAAGGCAAGCCCTGACCCACTTCATGTCTCCAGTGTACTCGGCAGCTGCTATGGGGGGCAACTCACTGTGTCCCTCTCCCTGCAGGACTGCCATGGGATCTGGTGAGTACATCCTCCCACCACTGTGCCCAGTACTAATCTCAGCCCTGTGACTACATGGGGATTGGGGAATGTGATCAAAGCCAGCCAAGCAGGTCCCCATCTCTTCCCACTGTAGCCACTAAAACTAGTTAACTTAGACACTGGTCACCAAAACTATCCACCTGACACATGGTCAGAGATGACACAAAAAACACAGTCCCAACCATACTGTTTCAACCACCGGATTAAGCTGTGGATCGATCAGTGTTACCACTGGTCCTTCAGTTCAGACGTAATTCCTTTTCTTCCAAAGGCTGGTGAAGACAGACTTCTATCATTTGCAAGAGAAAATAACTCAAATAGTAATGCCACTCCAGTGCTGCCTCAGGGACTGATTTTTAGAATAAGAACCAGGTTGTCACTCCAGCAAGGTCACAAGTGAGGAAACAGCTAAATATTTGTCTAGGTTTCTTCAATTATGCACAAAAAAATTGCTTGCAAAGGACCAACAGATTTGTGTGGATAAAATGCTAAAGGCAGCCACTGTTCGCCTTCCATTTACCAACACACAGCACGCTGGACGCTGGGTACACACCACACTATGCACTGGAGAGGTGCACCCAGCCAAGCACTAGCCTTGTAGGCTAAGGACTCAGGAAGGCCTGGGTTTGGGGATCAGCTCTGCCCTTCTGTACCTTTGGGCAGGGTCCTCTGCTGGAGTGTTTCCTCTGTGGGAACAGATGGTGAGGGGCTGCCTGCTTCACAGCTGTGTGAAAGGAACCGGGTCTTTTGTACACTGTCTCTGCTCTGCAATTACTGCTGCTTTAGTGTGTGCAACCATCATCCCACTCAATAAAAGGAAAACTGAGGCCCAGGGGCAAAAAGCAACCCAGCTAGTAAGACTGTGAGTCGGTGCTGGAGGTAGCACTGCCTGCCCTGGAACTCCTATTTACCCCACCTACAAGGGCACCCTCAGCATTCTGACACACACCCTTGCTGGAGAACCAATGTGGCTTGTGGTGTGCCAGGATCTGGGCACAGGCATGGGACACCTGTGCACTGGTAGTTGCTTATCATTGAGGCAACTCTGCTGAGGCCTGACAGGTGCTCTTGCTCAGGGCCCATGGGCTGGGCCGTCAGCCTAAACTACTTCCTAGCACTCTGATAAGGGAACAGACAGGCAAGGTGCCCTGGTGACAGCCCTGGGTGCTGTTCACTAGCCCAGCCAGCTATGTGAGAGAAAAGACTTCTGGGAGTCTGAGATCCAGGTGTCATGTTGTAGAGGCAGGTTCTAGACACCTGTCACATTCTGATCCAAAATCTGTCAAGGATCAGGTGACAGGCTGTGACACAAGAGACAGCTCGCTGGTTCCTGTGCAAAGCTGTCCAAGACTGGCTGCTGCAGCCAAAAATATCCAGTGTAATCAACACGCTCCCTGGCATTCTCGGGACTCAACAGGACGTACATGCAGTTCTCTATCATTATTAATTTCCGATCAGGGGGGTCTATGTTCTTCCTTTCTGCGTGGAAGTGACTGGGAGCTGGAGAGGTAAGGGTTGATGGGTGGAGGACACCTGGGAAACTAGGACAGAGGTTTCAGATTACAGAGAGGTCTTATGCCTGGCACACGAGGTGCTCATCAAAGATCTGCTGAGTAAGGCTGGCATGCTGGTTCATGTCTTTTTCCCAGCACTTGGAAGGCAAAGCAGACAAAAAAATCTGCTAAACAGAGGCATACACAAACCAATTAGTTTGGGCCCTGGCTCTGCCAATCACTAGCTGGATAACACAGGAGGAAGTCAGTTTCTTTGGGCCTCAGCCTTTGTTTTTTGAGACAGGGTCTCCCTGTAGCTCCAGCTGGTCTGGAACCCACTATGTAGACCAGGCTGGCCTCAATCTCATAGAAATCTGCTTGCCCCTGCCTCCTGTGTTCTGGATTAAAGGTATATGCCACCACACCTAGGTTTGGCCTAACCTTTTACACCTGTAAAATGGAGACATACCTCCTTCCCAGACAGATGGTGGTAAGGAGGATGTGATGTCACCCCAAGAGGCTGGTTTGATGGTTTCATTCCTTAGAGGGATGCACACTGGAATGCCACATGGGGCAGAGACTGCAGCAATAACAGGACACTGCTGGAGACCAAGGTGAACAGAGAGCACCAGGCCCTCTGGAGAGACCCTGCCTGCACCCCATGTGACTACTGTTGCTCAGCTACTTCTGCGAGGGGCTGCTGGGTCCATTTGTGCTTCAAGGGAGGCCAGATAGCCTTTGGTCATCAGTCTGATTCACCAGGCCCCATGGCCTATGTCTAAGCAGGAGTCCTTGGATCACTGAGCTGATGGCACACAGGCACTAGGGACCAAGAGACCCTGGAGTAAGATCATGTACTTGAGGAGGGCCACTAGCAGGCAGTGGGCAAGGGACACATGCCTGCTCAAATGCTACGTGTGGGGTTTCAGGCACCATCCCAGAATTATGCAAATGGTGGTAGCCACAGTTAGAGGACCACAGGACAACTTCAGAATGTGCCTGACCAGAAGTGACAAGTGGCAGGAGGCTGTTGGAGTAGACACCCACAGCCACCACAGAGCAGGAGTCAGGTTGGTAGGAATCTCCCTGGGATAGACAGGAAATGGGTTAGCAAGATCAAGCCAGTCTACCATGTGGGCTGCGCCTTGACCTCACGACCCACACCTGCCTGCAGGATCTCCATTGTGCCAGGCTTTAGGAAAAAGACACGTGAGCACATACAAGCTCCGAGCCAAGGCCTGGGGGTTGAGAGAGAGGGTGACACTGCTCAGACAGCAGTGGGGTGAGGAGCCAGTTTTTGTGGATGGGCTTACTTCCAGCACAAGGTACTGCTCCAGGGCTGGGGCTGCTGCCATCTCTCCTAGTACGCGCTCACACTCCAGGGATATGGCCTCTATTGAAGTCAGGAGTGGGGCCACGATCTCAGGGAACTGCAGGGAAAGCAGGTAGGCAGGCTATGAGGCCTAAGGACAGGGGTAGGCAGACCCTGCCACAGCAGTGGGCACCACCCACATCCATCCCTTGGATTTGGAACCTCTTCTTCTGGCCTGGTCTTTGCTCTGTAGTTGCCCTGACATCTGCAGAGGGTTCCTTGCCACAAAGCCAATGTGACTCATAAGCCATACCTGTTTCAAAAATCCTTGATCTGACCCTGCCCAGGCTATAGGCACAGCCCAGCACCTCCTTTTCTGCCCAAACTGCCTCCTCAAATCCTGTCCCCAGCATCCAGTGTACCCCTCCATCCTGAAACCCATCTATTAAGGGACCAAGAAGCACCCTGATCAGCCTGTTTCGGACGCCTGCCACGAGGGCCTTGGTGCTTCGTGGGACCTTGGTGTCGGTCAGCAGGATCTGGAGAGTGGGGGGCCTGCAGGTAAAACAGAAGGCAAGATGGAAGAGTCAGGACCAGGCCAGAGTGCGCGCTGGGACTCCACCCCACCCTGGTTCAGAGGAAGAAGTGGCCCAGGAAGGGAAGCACACAGGAGGGAACCAGCTCAGCCTGGGGCCTAGCAGGCAGACAAGGAGAAAGGTCCTTGAAGGCTTCCTTGCCATAAGTATAAGAACTGAGGAGGGTAAGAACCACTCAGGGCAAAGCAGGGGCAGTATTCCCACAGGTGGAGTGGCATACGCTGCACCCTGAGATGGTAGGACATGGTCCCTCATTGAGTTAGAAGTTCAAAGTGGTTATGCAGAGTGCAGGGAGGGCCAGACGCCCAGTGGTGCCAGTACTTGGGGACTAGAGATTTGGAAAGTGAAAACCACAGGACCTTGGGGCTTGGGAAGGAGTGGAGATATAGGAAGCGAGAGCAAGGACCACCTAGTGCTGGTCCAGACAATCATCCTTTTCCAGAAGATCGCAAAGCTCTGGGGATTTGGGACTGTTTGCATAGACATTTCCAGCTGACCACTCCTAATCCCAAACTTTTGAGCACAGTGTTTGAGTTTGGATTTCTAGCTTGGGATGCTCTCCTGCAGTGAATTTGTGGGTAGTCTCTCAGTGAGGGAATGAGGCAGGACTGCCAAGGAGGCCAAGCCCCTGGGCACTGAGCCCCTTAAACCAGCAATCCAGGCATGAACCTTGCTGTGGCCACAGGGTGTCAATGGCTCTGACTCCACAGCACAGCACTGGAGGGCTGGAGGGAGCTGTATAATCCTTTCTTCTTTCTTTTCTTTTTTCTGGTCTTTTTCAGTCTGGGTCTCCCTGTATCCCCAGCTGGCCTAGAACTCGAACTCACACAGAGATCCACCTGCGTGCACCACCACACCCAACTTGTATAATCGTTTCTAAGGCCACAATTTCAATTATCCTTGAGCTGAGCCAGCTTTGGAGGACCCAAACCACTCTTTCTTGCCATCTACCCTGCCTTTCAGAGAGCTGTGGGGGTGGAGATGAAGGGTGGAAAATCTGGATAAACTTAGGCCTGAAACAGCTGGAGGCCTCATGACACCTTTATTGGTACTCTCTTCACAGTTCAAGATTGTAGGACCCACCAGGATGGAAAAGGCCGCTAGTGACCGGCTTTGTCTCTCCACCCATAAGCCCATGAAATCAGAATTGATTCCCAGCCTAGAGGCTGGTTGGTGCCTGGGTTTTTTTTTGTTTGTTTGTTTGTTTTTTTTGGGGGGGGGGATAAACTTTACAAAAGATGAACATTGGCTTTTCTTTTCCATTAAAGACAAACCACTGCTCAAAAGGGCAGTGTTCTGGGAGACCACATCTCAAGTCACTTCATGAACAATGTGCTTTGGGGGAGATTTGGGAGAGAAGTGTCCCCTTTAAGCCATCCATGGGATGCAGGCAGGACTGCCACGAAGGCAGCCAGCCTTCCAGTTGTGGAGAACCTGCACCCTGTGGCAAATGGCATGGGTGGGGGCTTGGGATCACATCTCCAACCTCTGACATGTCCTCTGCTAAGGCCTGCTTCTAGCCACAACACATGAGCTGCCCAGGGCTCACTACTCAGGACTCTACTCTGGAAGGACTTTTGTGACCTGGGTCTGGCTGCCAGGACCTCATTTCAGCCCATCTCTTCCCTTCCCCAGTGCACACACTACTGTCACCCTTGCCTCTTTGCTGCTATTCCACACACCAGGCCCTCCAGTGCCTTAAGACCTTTGCACTTGTATCTATTCTGCCACAGGCCGACCCCACTCATAGTTGCATGACTCCTTCTATCACTCAGGCCTCTACTCTAGTGTTACCTCAACAGAGGTCCTTTGGACACCTCATCCTAGCAGCTTTCCCTGAGCAACATTTTTGACTGTCATAGCTGAAGGGTGCAATGGACATCTAGCATGTTGATGGAGCTGAGGCTAAGAATCCCCAGTGCGGGGATGATGGGCAGCTTAGCTCCAGAGGTCAAAGCTGGGAGAGGACCACTCCATAGGCACATACAGGGCCAGTGGTGGGGAGACACCATGAGCCTCTGGTGGCGTGACCAGGTGGTGAGGCCAGTGGTGCCTCACCTGGTGCCCACCTGTGAAGACTACTATGGGTGAAGAAGGCAAGAGAGTGCTAGTGACCCCCGACACATAAACCATCACACAGCCTGCCACGGCCCAAATGGGCCTCTACTTGCTAAAATTCAATCCCTGCACCCAACCTTTCCACTGAGGGTGCAAAGGGAGCTACATGCTAAAATTTAGTTTGCTTAGCTGACCCAGGGGTGGAGAGAGCCATGTAAAGCAAGCTGTGAGCTGCCAAGTGCCCTTTGCTCCAGGCCTCCCACTCTGAACTCCAGTCGGCCTCAGTCTGGCTGGCCTCCATTACAGAACACCCCTGTCTTGTGGCAGCTTCGGTCCCAACCCCAACCCCCATGCTCATGCTCAGCAGGAGCTCCTGGAAACAGCCTGAGAGGTGCCTCTATGTTCCTGGGTTCCAGGATGTGTCATTAGGAAAAGGAAGGTGGTACCTAGTGCACACAAAATGAATAAACAGTGGGGACCAGCTACTCTTATGAGGGGAAGGGACAGCCACAAATATACCTATAACCACAATGAAGAATTGACATGGAGGAGGAAAAACAACACCCAGACCTGCCTCACTGTGCCCCAGGTCTCACGCTGTGAGAGTCACAGCCAGGAAGAGGACACAAAGACACCTATTGTCCCTCACAACTTCGCAAAGGCACAGCACTTTTCCTAGACACATGAAAATGACTGTGCTAGACACAATGCCTGAATTACCTCTTTAAGGATAACATCCTCCCTTGCTGGTAGCGCAGGGCTCCTCCTAAATAGAAAGACGAGTAGTCAGACCCATGGGAAAGCCTCTATTTGCCTCCTGGAACAGCATGGGGTCAGCATGGCCCCACCAGGGACCAGGCTAAATGACATACCCATCTATTCCAGCTTCAGCTGTGAAGGGCCCAGAGAGTACCAAGACCTCAGAGCTGCCTAGCTTCCTCAGCCAGGCCTACATGGTGAGCTTGAAGCTAGGCCTTGGTGGTTAGGCCTGTCAGCAAGCATCTTGTCAGGATGGGAGGCTGCTTGAGTGGTTTGCCAACTCCATAGCAACAGTCCCTGTGACTCCCCCATGGAGCTCAATGGGACTCCCCAGGACCCAAGCCCACCCCAGAATGAGAAGCAGAGCCTCAAGATCTCTCCCATTCCTTCAAATAGGAAAGTGCTCCTTTCCTCGGGATTCACTGATTGTACTCATTCCAAGCCAACAGAAGCAGGGTACCTACTCAGGTAATGAGACTCAGAGAAAGAATTAAGATGAAGAAAGCACACCTACCCCAGGTGCTGATAGCATTGTCCACGCCGGAGGGGTTCCCATGGATCACTCTCTCCCCCTGGAACGCCCACTTATTAATTGACTTCAGCTCCTCCTCAGGCCACCTGGGCACACAGAGTTGTCTGACTGTGGTGGTGATGAATGAAGGACCAGGGTTGCTCTGGGCAGCAGAGGGAAGGAGCTGTGGACTATACTTGCTGGTAGCACAGGGCTATGCAAAACGCAGAGGCTAAGAGGACTGGCTCAGGGACTTACAAAGAACAAAAGGGCTCCACCTCCCTCAGCTCAAGATGACACGGAACCTTCCTTTCATTTTCCCCTGAAACCCATGAGATGCAGGAGAAAAGGCCCAGGCTTTGACTTCCCACAGTGTACTGTGCTCTTACTAGCTGAGTGACTCTGAGCAAGTGACCTAACCTCTCTGAGTCCCACTTTCTCCAAGGATAATTAACAGTACCCTCCTCCTGGCCAAAGGCATGTATGGCTGTGGCTGGTGGCAGGCCTTGTGAAGTGTCTACACTGAACATATGGTGATGACCTCTGTGTAAGCATCCACTCCTGAACCAGGCCTGTCTCAGGAAGGGTAAGCAAAGGTGAGACCAACTGCTTCCTGAGATCCCAAGAACCTGACCAAATGAACAACTACTGTAGTTGCAGATGTGGTTCAGTGGTAGAGCACTTGCTCCAGCATGGGGACAGGAGGAGGAAGCAGGGCATGGTGGCACACTCCTGTAATCCCTGAGCTCGGGAGGCTGAGGCAGCAAAATCAATAGTTTGAGGCCAGCTTGGGCCATGTATTGAGACTATCTCAAAACAAACAAAACCCGAGTGGGCCAGGTTGGCACCAGCTACCTGACTCTCTTCAAAGCAGAGGAGCCTCCTGTGGAATAGATGCATGCTCAGTACTAGCACCTGATAACAGACAAAAACAGAGAGATGGGAACAGGGAAAAGCAGGCCACACCTCTCCCCTCCCCTCAGTCTGGCTCCTTTCTGGAGATTGTCTTCTCATGTGCTGGCGGCAGAGCTATGCAGGACGCTGTGGGCTGGTTGGACCCCATGCACTGCATGCATCCCCAAGCAACAGCTTGTTTCTCACCCTTGCCTCTCTCAGCTGTAAAACCAGGAGACAGCAGTGCCTCTCTCACCAAGATGCTGAGATGAAGAACTGTTGTGTGATGCCTGGGGGTGGGAAGGCATGCGTTCCCTTAAAACAGATCCCTGGAACCATAGCTCCTAGATGTGTGCAAAGTTGAGTCCAATCTCTTGTTACAGCAGCCACTGCCTGAGTCTCTCTCCTTGTGTGTTGTTCTAATGTAGAAGTGAGTGGTACTGTGGTCTTGGAGCACTATTTTATCCATCCGAGCCTCAGTTTCCCCTTCTGTATAAAAGGGGATAATCCTGTCTTTCCTTTGATTTCATTTTTAATCTCCTTTTCACACACACCCCCGTGTGTGAGAGAGAGAGAGAGACAGAGAGAGAGACAGAGACAGAGAGAGAGAGAGAGAGAGAGAGAGAGAGAAAGAGGGAGGTGTATGTTTGTGAGGGGCAGGGGACGCATGCTATAGCATGTGTGTGGTTGGGACAATCTTGGGTCAGTCCTTGCCTTTACCTTGTTTGAAACAGGGTCTTTTGGTGTTTGCCACCTCATTTCTCAGGCTAACTGGCCTGTGAGCTTCTGGAGAGTCTCCTATTCCTGCCTCCCATCTCACCCTAGGAATGTTGGGACCACAGGTGCATGCTACCTCTTCTGGCTTTACAGGGTGTTGGGGAGCCAAACTCAGGTCCTGATACTTTCACAGCAAGTGCTTTACCCACTAAACCATCTACTTGGCCCTCTTTTCTTTTTTTCTTTCTTTTTTTAAAAAGACAAGGTCTTGCTATATAATCCAGGTTTGTCTCTAACTCATGATCCTCCTGCCTCAGTTTCCCAGATGCTGAAATTACAGGTGTGCACCATCACACCTGGCCAGTTCATCTTTAATCATAGCACCACACCTACTGTGTGAGATGCAGATTCATGGAGTCATGGTGAGTCAATGCAGGGGTGAGAGGGTTTGCCTAACCTGATCCTGTCTACATCCAGACCTGGGTCTTTCTGTAGTACCAGGAAATTTGAACTCCAAGGGCTGGGATGGGAGCAAAGAGAGAGGACAGAAGTGACTCAGCACAGGAGAGAAGTGCTCAGGTTCTGGGCTTGAACCACCTGAGCTTCAAATCCCTCTGCTCTGATCATCTGGGTAGCCCAGGGTGTCATTTGGTCTGCTGGGCTTTAGCTCCCATTGCTGACACCTCTCACCTCAGTGGTGGTGGTGGTAGGGGGCAGGGAGAAGGCCCCTTGAGTGGGTCTTGGCACACACACACACACACACACACAGTGAGCGGGGCAAACACAGTGGTTACCTGCTGATACCATCCCCATCCTTCAATGGGTTGTTGATCTCTTCACATGTGGTCAGGAGGGCAGCTGCCAAGCACACCGAGTATGCAGCACTGGAACCCAAGCCTGCACCAGGGGGTAGTTCCGACCATACCACAATGTCCAGGCTCGGCAACACCCTGTAACACATCAGAACACAAAGTATGGCCCCCTCATACTGGCATGAGGTGCCAGTATGAACTCAAGGCCAGGGGTCAAGAATGGACATTGGGGGAGGAGACTAACTCTGAGCATCTGGCCCAGTGCTCAGAACGCAGGGAGATTTTTTTCCAATCCTTCATCCCTACTGGATGGCAGGAACACAAAGTGTCCCAGACAACCAGGTAACGGCTACCAGATTCACTTAAATCACTTCAATGTCAAACCACAGCACTCCCCAAGTCACTGTGAACTGCCAATTCCTCCTTAGAACTCTTTTCCCTCTCCCCAGACCTGAGCTACTTCCTGGCCCTACCTTCAACATGAGCTGCCCCTCTATCTAGCATGGCCTTGTACCACCATATCTCCCATCCATTTTTCAAGACTCACCAAGTGCTTCCGGGCACTTTTCCAGACCACCCACATGCTATCTGCCTCTGAAAGTACCTAACATGTTCCCAGGGGGTCTTTCCCACTAGACAGCGCTCCCAACATGTGTGACCTGGGTCTGATGCAGATCACTTAAAATAGTCACATCATCTCATGAGCATTTCCCTCAAGTGAGACCTGACAAACTTGTGTTCTGGAATTATAAGTGTGCACCATCACAGCCGGTTTTATACAGTGGGGATTGCATCTAGGGCTCCATGCTTGTCAGGCAAGCACTCTACTGAGTTAGACCCCCAGCACCACTTTGTGCTTTTTTGAAACAGGGTCTTACACTGTGTGCCAGGCGGCCCTGAAAGTCATCTAGCTTCATGCAACTCTTGGCAACCCTCCTGCCTCAGCCTCCCAAGTGCTGGGCCTAAGGCATAAGCTACCACACCCCAGTCTAAGGAAATAATTAATTAATGATAATAGCTAACATTTATCAAGCTACATGCCAGGCTCTGGGTGAAGTACATTAGATAGATTAAACCTTACAACCCCAAGAGCTTGGCACTGTCACCACACCTGTTTTATGAGTGCAAAGGTGAGGCTCAGAGAGGTCAAGCACCTCAAGTGAGGGCAAATAGCTTGGTAGCCGGCCTCTGGAGTGCCTGTTGGAGCACCGTGTGCCCTGCCTCAGCAGTGCTGGCTCCCCAGGTCTCTCTGAAAAGGGGGAAGTGAGAAGACACAGGCTTCACTCTGCTGACTGGAGCTGCCATGCAGCAGCAAGACAAGGCACGCCTATGCCTCTCCAGTCATGAGGAAGCTGCCCTGGGGACCAAGAATGCAGCACAGCCTTTGCCCCACTGAACTGAAGCAGCAGAGGAGGCAGCAGGGGATCAACAAGCCAGGGCTCGTGTGAGAGTAAGTGGGGTTCATGTCCCAAGTCTACCACCTAACTAGCTAAATGGCCTTCGGTGTCCATTTCCTCAGCCTCGCTTCCACGGGAGTTAACCGAGGTGGTGCCTCACTCCAGGACTGCTCCTGGCACAATGAGGATAGCCCAGGGCCACTGTTCCTAGAGACCTAGGAGGCACGGGCACTCAGCAGCAGGGACAATGGGAACTTGTCCCACTTCCCAGGGAAGGCTGGATCCTGCAGCCCACACACATACCTCTGCTTCCGACAGATGGCCAGGTACAGATACAGGAAGGCAAGCACTGCCAGGTTCTTGGTGTCAACACCATCCACGGAGAGACCTGCCACCTCCTTCAGCTTCTCCAGGTGCTCTGGGGTGGGTGCTGTGACATCACCTTGCTCTGTCACACAGGCAAACAAGGGTGGGTAAGAGAGCTGCAGGTAGTTTTATAAACCACAGAATACACTGGAATCAGCATGTGGACAGACATGAACTTAGGGACCAAGCAGGAGTCCAGTCTATCCATTCATTTTTGAGTTTTAGGGCATAGGTAGCCATGGGTATGGAGCTGGACTGCCATTCACTGTGTATATGGCCCTCAGCAAGTGGCTTACTGTCTCTGAACTCAAGTTTCCCTTCTTGGTAAAATAGGGGTAACACAGCACCTCTTCAGAGGGTTGCGTAAAAATAAAGGCAAGGCATGTAAACCTCAGCACTGCACCTGGAGCACAGCAAGTGCTTAACTAACAGTTTAAATACACGCTGCATGCAAAAGCCTAGCTTTCACCTTCCGTTCTACAAAACCAAAACAAAGGTACTATGAGGTTAATTCCCCAGATAGTTCCCTCTCTCAAAGATAATTAGTGAAAGGGCTGGAGATATGGCTCAGAGGGAGAGCACTTGCCTAGCTCATGGGGAAGTCCTGGGGTTCATTCTTAGTACTCCAAACAAAACAAAACGAAAAACAACATACACATGCGGGGGGAGGGTGGGGAGAATGAGAATTAGCAAGCACAGAAAATAAAAGTAGTGAATGTGAGCTGGGCATTCCCAGCACTCGGGAGACAGAGGCATGTGAATCACTGTGCAATCGAGGCCAGCCTGGTCTACATAGTGAGTTCCAGGCCAGCTGAGGTTACAGGGAGACCCTTTCTCAAAAAGACAAAAAAAAAAAAATTAAAAAAAAAAAAAAAAAAAAAAAAAAAAAAAAAAAAAAAAGTGAATGTGAAATGTTGCTAGGGCAGGAGGGAAAGGCAAGGTAACAGGTTTTTCTCAGTGATGCACAGTCAGGGCTACTTTTTCTCTGTGATGTAGAAGATGCAGAGCAAGTCTGACCAACTCACCTTTACAAATCACTTCCAGCCTGGGGGGTAACAGGTGGAATGGAGCTGGGAGTGGCTGTTAGAAGGTTCAGAGCACCTACTAAGTTTCAGTACATGTGTGCTGAGTATATGCATGATATACTCAGGGCCAAGCCAGGGGATCAAGGTGAGCCCGACCCTACAGAGCTGTGATGGAGATACACCAGCATTGAAGTTTAAAGACCCATGCCTGAACCCTTTCTGTATCACTGACAGCTGTGTGGCCACAGCCACTTGACCCTTAAGCCTCAACTGCACATCCATAAAATGGAGATGAGTACCATCACCTACTTCTGGGGAAGAGCTAACATACAAGACCATACTTGGCTCAGGGCACATGCCCAGTGTCTGCTCACTGTGTTTGTTACCATGTGAAGAGAGCACCAGGCACTGAAAAGAGGACAGGAGATCCTGCAACATCACAGCAACCAGGCTCCAAAAGGCTCCTTTATCTCCTACATGAAGCAGACTTTGCCCCTTGGCATCACAGTCCTGGCACCCACCTCTCGTTCTGCTGCGTCTCCACAGAAGCCCTCAGCCGGACCATACAACCCTGCTCTGGACCAGGCAAGAATAGTGATCTGCCTAGGCTCACCAGTGATTTGGTAACAAATCATAGTGCCGAGCACCATGTGTGGCTGCTGCTACCTCAGCTACTAACTTAGAAAAGCAGATGCTGGTCTCTAGGGAATACTGCCCTGACAAGAGCCTGATAGAAAGCAATTACCAGGGGCTTTGAGTTGAGCAGGAACCTGGAGTCACCCCGGGAACTGCCCGCAAAATGTTCTCAGTCCCCACAGGAGAGGGGCAGAATCCATCTATACTTGAAAAAACGACAAAAGCCTCCCCTGGCAATTCCAAAGCCTGCCAAGTAGAAGAAAACAATTGCTCCCCTTCCCTTTCCTTCCTTCCTCCCTCCCTCCCTTCCTTCCTCTCTTCCTTCGACTGGGGAGCAAACCCAGCCCTTCACTGCTGAACCACCCTAGCTCAAAGCCTTTCACCACCACTCCATCTCCTGTGGCAGGTGTTGGGGATCAGGTACAGCCTGGAAGTAGTCCTGAGGACTCCCACCTGCCCCAGGCTTGCTGTGAAATGCTGTTGCCAGTAAGCAGACATGAGCCAGATGGGAGACAGCCGACTGAGACCTGAAACCAGGCTCTGAGGCAGGCACCGCTCTGCTGACTGACTAGCCTGGATGGGTGTAAGCCCAAACTTTCCCATGCTGCCAATAGCAGCACACAGCCCTGGGGTAATGACAGGTCCTGATACCCTGAAGGAAAAATGTTCACACCTAGAAGACTGACATGGCCTGACACTATTTTGGTTCAAAACCAAGGCACCTCCCTTTCTCAGTCAATCTATCTCTAGAAATAAACCCAGAAGGGTTACTACCAGAATGCCTAGGCTTTACTGTGGAAAGGGGAACAATGATGGGCAACTGCTTTGTTATCATGTCCTAGTACTGACTAGATTTTCCAGTAATAAACAGAAATCACTTGGATTTGTTTTTTGGTCTTTTTGAGACAGGGTCTCCCTGTAGCCCCCAGCTGTCCTGGAACTTACTATGTAGAGCAGGTTGGCCTTGAACTCACAGAGATTCGCCTGCCTTTGCCTCCTGAGCACTAAGATTAACGGCGTGCACCACCATGCCCAGCTCTGAAATCACTTTGATTTTTAATGATTTTCAGGGGTGCTGGAAATTGAACCCAACGGCCATGCTAAGCATACATTCTGCCACTGAGCTACACTCACCCTATTCTTAATGATTTTTAACTATACAACAATGCCACGCATTCATTACCCTTGCTAAAAGCAGAGGAGAAGACTTACTTGGTCCACTCTCCAGCATGGGGTCTTACCAGATGATCACCATTGTCAGTTTTGTGTCTATTTTCCCAGACTTTTATCTATACATTTACATACTGATTTATATATAAGTATCTGCACTGTTTCACATCTGTGATGGTTAATCTTGTTTTGTTTGAGACAGCGTCTCACGTAGCCCAGGTGGATCTTGAACATACAGCGAAGGCTGTCTTTGAACTCCTGATCCTCACTACTTCCCAAGTACTGGATTAAGTTGATGGTTAATTTTGATTGTCAACTTGATAGGATTTAGAATCAGCTAGGAAACACACCTCTGGGCATGTCTATGAGGCTATTTCTAGACCGGTTTAATAGAAGTGAGAAGACCCACCCTGAATGTGGGCAACACCATTCTATGGATTGAGGTTCTGGACTGGATAAAGAGGAGAAACGAAACCGAGCAGCAGCATTCATCTCTCTCATTCCCAAGCGGATGCAATGTAACCAGGCACCTTACATTCCTGCCACCATGGGAGATGGACTACCCTAAAACCAGGAGTCAAAATGAACTCTTCCTTCCTTAAGTTGCTTCTGTCACAGCAATAAAAAAAGAAACTAACGCAACAGCTTAAGGCTTTTAATGCTCAACAACAGGCCCGAGTGACCTGTCCACAGCAGCCCACATCTAAGCCACAGTTCACAGCCAGCCTGATCTACACAGTGAGTTCCAGGTCAGCCAGGGATGCATAGCAAGACCCAGTCTCAAACAAACAAAAATTAAACACAATACTAAATGAGTGAAACCAATTTTCTGGGGTCAGGATAGAAACCTTCTGGAACAGCTCTCCTTTGGCTTTCTCATAGACAGTCTGGAATAACTACCCAGCCGTCACCTTTTCTCTCTCTTCAGGGGCCAGGCTCTCATCACATCTGCTTTCCCCTCCTTGTACTGACCAAGAAAGCTTGTGTCCAGCAGCTGAAGCCTGGCCACCTCCCAAGTCTGCTTAATACCAATGTTTGGTAAGTTGAGGCTCACTTTCCCACTGGTCTGGGGTTGAAGCCGCAGGAATGTTCTCAAGTTCAAGGCCACCGCCAGTGCTACCTGTAGAATAAAGGGTAAGAGCAGTAAGCCTGAGGGTAAGTGTACGTGAACCAGTATCAGCATGCTGAGAAATGAAGGCACATACTCTTGCACAGGCCCACTGTTCTTCCTAGCCCGGGCACACCCATTAATTAGTAGCTAACATCTACTTAGGTTTGCCTTCCTGAAGATAACTTCAGAGATTTTCAACGTTCTCTAAGCCACTACATTTTCAAAGAGAAACCTAAGTTAAAAACAAAGAATGAGAGCCAAATACAGTGATTCGTGTCTGTAATCCTAGCACTTGGGAGGCAGAGGCAGGAAAATCATTACATTTTAAGCCACCCTGATCCACATAGTTGATTTCCTGACCAGTCAGGGCTATACAGCAAGACCCTGTCTGGAAAAACAACAACAAACATTGCTAGGGAAATAGCTCAATCTGTAAAGTACTTGCCAAACAACACAAGCATGAGGACCCAAATTTGATCTCCAGGACTTACATTAAAAGGAAGATGAAGAGAGAGGGAGGGGGAGGAGGACGAGGAGGAGGAGGGGAAGGGGAAGGTGCAGCTGTAAATAGAGGGGTGCCCACTCTTCTGTAAATAAACCCCAACCCTATGCTCTGTTAGTAAGCCCAATAAACTCGTTTGGATTAAAAAAGAAAGAAGAAAGAAGAAAGGGAAAGAGGGGGGAGGGGGAGGGGGAGGGGGAGGAGGAAAAGCCAAGTGTGGTAATTCGAATCTGTAATCCCAGGACTTGGGAAGGGAAGACAGGGAGATTCATAGGGCTTGCTGATCAGCCAGCATAGCCTATCTAGGCAAACTCTAGACCAGTGAGAGGCCCTGCCTCAAAAAAAACAACATGGACAGCTTCCTGAGGAACGACACCTGAGGTTATCCTCTGGCCTCCACACATGCTTGTCCCTACACAAACAAAAATAAAAAAACAAAACCATAAAGAATGACAGTTGGAGTAAATGAGTGGGAAAAACATGAGCTTTAGTTTCAGAAGGACTTAGGTCCACACCTGGCTCTATGGAAGTGTAACATGCATGGTCAAGATGCCAATTCTCTCCAAAGCCTCAGTTTCTCTATCTATAAAATGGAAGCCTAATTCCAACACCTTTGCTAGACCATCTTTCTAACTTCTAAACAGAATTCAGTCCTCAAATCTCTTTTCCCCTCCACTAAAGCTCACTTCTTAGGTGATTTCACAGAACATCTTTTTTGCTATCTTATTGGGTGAGGCCAGAGAAATTCTTCAGTAGTTTAAGCTCTGTCTTTTCCATGCCTGGCTGGAGAAACAGGCCTCTTTGGTTCATTCTCAGTCTTTCACCTTCTTTTAGTGTCAAGGAGCAATGGTACCCAATCCTTAAAGGCTCTGGGGACTTTTTACCTTGCCATGGACCACAGCATGTTCTCCATGGAGGATAACTTTCCCCGGAGCAGACACCAGTAGGACTTCTGACAACATGGCTCTTGGGACTCCTGAAAGGGAATGCCAGAGAGACAAACAAAGGTTTAGATGATGTTAGAACCATCAGAAAGAGAGCTTAGTGGAAGCCAGTTCCCGCACACTATAACAACACTTGCTAAGTACCAGGAAGGGAGTGGAGTGTACAAGTCTGTTGGACAATGAAAAAGATCTGAGGCAGGCATGCTGGGCAGCTTTTAATCCCAGCACTTGGGAGGCAGAGGCAGGCGGGTCTCTGTGAAATGGAGGCCAGCCTAATCTACATAGTTCCAGGCCAGCTGGGGCTACAGGGAGACCTGTATCAAAAAAAGAGAAACATCTGAGTTTTGATCCATCCCAGTCCTTCCACTCCCCAGTGATGACTTCTCACTTAAGTGGCTATGAATCTCAGTTTCCCACACATTATACAGAGAAAATACTAGAATCTACTTCAGAGTCTTGGGAAACAGCAGTGGTCTGTCTGACACATTGTAACCATTTGATTACTGCAACTGTTCTTGGGTTCAGATGTTACTGCTACCATTACTGGAAGCAGAAGGTGACATGAAGGCTGGGTGTGGAGCTCAGTGGTAAAGTACTTGCCGAATATAAGTAAAGCTATGCGTTTGACGCCGTGGAAGAGGAAGAGATTTACATGAAACCATGGAGAAAGACATCGAGATTATAACCAATTTGTCACGATAACAATAAACAATACTGCGGGCCACACCTCTTACATCCCGCATTGCGCATTAAAACAAGAACAGAGTCCTAGAAAGTGCTCTGCCGGATCTAGGGGTGTGTGCATTTTACATTTTCATGGGTAATGCAAATTTCCCCGCGTTTAAGGAAAGCTTCACGGGAACTCACTCATACTAAGCTCAACCTCTCTATGAGCTAAGTACCACCGCGACCCTCGCTTCTCGGGGAACTGTCCGGTCTGAGGTCGCCGCGGACCCTCACGCCGCCCGGCCCGCAGCACCGGCCTCTCACCTGCCGCGGCCCCTGTGCGCTGTAGCTCCAACTGCGGTTCCAGACCTCCTCCATCCCGTAGCGCCTGTGCCCCCGGAGGAGGCCGAACCCTTCACTCCAGCCAATCAGAACGCTCGAGCTGGGAATTCCAGTGCCGATTGGCTTCAGCATTGGCCAATAGGCATTGCAGCCAGGCCGCCCAGGGTTGTCCCGCCCCACTCTATCGCGGTCCAATGGGAAACAAGTCTGGGGGAGTGCCCCGCCCTGGTGCGAGAGCCACAGACCAATAGGAAAGGAGACAGAACGGTGGCGCGGCCAGCTGTGGGCGGAGTCACTCCGGGGCCTGGACGGGTGCTTGGAGGGGTCAGCCCTAGCCACGCAGCCCGGCGAATGGCTATGTGGGTCCTTGGGGGCTGTCTGGGCCTGCGCGGGCGCCTTGGCGCCTGCAGGCTGCTGTGGCGGGGTTTCCAGAACCGCGGCCCTCCGGGCAGGGAAGACGGGGACCGGTGAGTGTCAGGCTGGGAGGATAACTCAACACTTGCCCTGAATCGTGGTGTTGCCACCGTGGGTACGTCACACTGGTGATGGCTCATCTGTGGCCTGACGTCACCGGGGGCAGCGTGGAATCAGAGACCAGGATTCCTTGGCACTAGTCTTAAGGCAACCAAGCTGCCGTCATTCAGCCAGGGCATGTCCTTGGGGGCTAGAAGGACCCTCCGTTTGGATTTTGACCTGTCTCCAAAGGAGTTTATATACAAAGTTCACACCAGCATGATCTAAGGAAGGCTTCCCTCGCACCTTGCAACCTCCCAGACCCAGAACCTGCCGAGTACCACGAATGAATACTTGATGAATATGTTTCTTGTCATTTAACCTTTGAATAAACTTAGGAAGTCACATTTTAGTTTTGAGCTATATGTTTAAGTTACGTGTTGCTATTTGAAAATACCCAACTTTTGAAAAAAGAACAAGGATTGGGGATGTGGTCTGAGGGTGCAGGTTTCAAGGTGTGAAGGAAGCTTTAGATCATGCCGGTGTGAGCCTTGGATTGGTCAAAATCTCAATAGAGGGCCTTGGTGGCCCCACAAGGACATGCTCTGCCCGACTGAAGGCAGCTGGGCTAAGTTAAGATTTGTGCCAAAAAATCCTGGTCTCTTGAGTCCATGATGCCCCCAGTGACGTCAGACCACAGTGGTAGAATGCCTGACAAGCTCAAAGGTCTGGGTTCAGTCCCAGACCTGCAAAAAAAAAAAAAAGAAAGAAATTTTAAAAGCGAAAATGCCAGTTTTTCAAACTCTATTTTGCCCGTATTTTCATTCCTGAGCACACGCAAAACCTTAGAAAATGCAAATGGCCTGGCTTTCTTTTCTTCCAAGAAGCCCCAACTTTGTGGTAGAGGGTCAGAGTTTGGGTAGACCAGAGGCAAGATTTTGGGGGAGGGTAGAGTTCCCAGTTTGGGGTTCTGGAGTAAAACAGTCTTTGGCATGAATTCCAGCTGTGGCTCTTCCTCCTTGGTGACCTAAGAAGGTGAGTCTTTGTAGGCTCTAGAAGCAAAGGTGATAGTTACCGGCTAGCTTTGGGGCTGTGGGAAGAGCCCAGGGGTAATTCCAGGAGCTAGAGCCTGTAGTCCACTATGGAGTTGGGGCTATAGCAAGTGATCAGTCAACCCTTCCAGCAACTATTGGTCGAGCATCTGCAGTGAGCAGCATACTCACAGGTGCTTGCCCTCAAACTCCATTTGTGCCTAGAAGGACTGGAGGGGAAATGGTCAGCAAGAGATGGCCATCCAAGAAGTGGGGGTAAGTGCTGCTGCTGCGGTTGCAAGCAGCAAGCTGGGGTTCAGTGAGGTACAGTCTGTAAGCTACCTCGTTTTGATGTCTGTTTCTCATTAGGCTACAGTCTTCCTCGAAGACACCCAAGAACCCCAAGATTTACACCAAAACAGGAGACAAAGGTAGGGTGGGGACAGGTGAGAAACACAGCAAGACATAGGCAGGTGTCATTTTAAAGTTCTTCTAGCTCTGTTGTGGCCTTTTAAAAGTCTTTGGTAGATTTGAATATACATCACAAAAATGTGAAGTGACGTGAAAAAAGCCCAAACTGTATTGGGTAATAAAAAGAAGTTGCCAAGAAGCGGAGCATGGTGCACATTTGTGTCCTAGCACTCAGGAGGCTGAGGCAGGAGGTCATGAGTTCAAGATCAGATAGGGGGACATATCAAGCTCCAGACCAGTCTGGGTTACATAAAAAAACCCTGATCCAAACAAAAGAAAAGACAAGTTATAGAGCTGGAAGTGTTGTTCGGGGTTAGAGTGTTTGACTAGTGCCTTGGAGGCCTTAGGTTCAAACCCCAGTCCTGTAAGAAAAGATTTTATATATATATATATCTTGAAATTGTATATATATACAATTTCAAGACACTGTAAGAACTCTGAGTCCATTTGGATTAAAAAGTGTGTAATGCTGGGATGGTGGCTCAGACCTGTAATCCTAATTATCTGGAAGAAGACTCAGGAAGATCACTGTAGGAATGACATAAAATGGACATAATCTGGACTAATAATGACTTAATTAACCCCAGCAAAACCATGTGCTCTTGTGTCTTGTGACCTGGGCATCTGATCTCATTTCCTTGGCTGCCACAATTTGGTGTATGCAAAAAGATAATGAACAAATGTGGGTATGTTTGAGAATGAACACATAAAGCACTGAAAGCAGGTGTACCCATTTCCACTGCATACAGTGAGGCTTTGAGTGACCTTGGGTGATTGAGATATTCTAGAACTAGGGATGAAAAGTACTTCCCCAACTGAAGCTGGAGAAACCATTTTAAATAAAATCATGGGGTGGGACTGGACACAGAGTTCCAAAGACAGTTCCATCAGCACAGTTCCTGGAGACAGTTCAAGAGATACCTGGAGTAATGAGTGTCCTCCAAGTCTGCGCCCAATCTTAAAAACTAAGTTTAAGAGTCAGGCTTTTTTGTTCAGGTCATTGAAATGTTGGCATAGTAATACTGAAGATCACTGTGAGTTCAAGGCCAGCCTAGACTGCATAGTGAGACCCTCTCTCAAAAATAAAAAAAATATGTACATATGTTTTCCAATAAGTGTGAAAGATTTTATCTTTGGTAGTTTTTTGTTTGTTTGTTTGTTTGTTTTCGGTCTTTTTGAGACAGGGTCTCCCTGTAGCCCTAGCTGACCTGGAACTCACTATGTAGATCAGGCTGGCCTTGAAGTCACAGAATCTGCCCCCTTTTGCCTTCTGAGTGCTGGGATTAAAGGTGTATACCACATATCTTTGAGGTTTTTTTTTAATTATATTCTATGGGTGTGTGTCTGTGTCTGTGTCTGTGAAAGCCAAATTGCTCACGTGGCAATCAGAGGAAAACATGGGAGTCTATTCTCTCCTTTCACCATGTGGGTCCCAGGAATTGAATTCAGGTCCTCAACTTTGCAGCAAGTGCCTTTACCTATTGAGCCATCTAGCTGGCCCTCAAAGATTATATCTTCTGTTGGTATCCAGGAGAGAGATTGAATAAACAGGAGAGAAGAATAAACAGGAGTTTACATACTTTTATTCCATTTTTTCATAATAAACATATATTACATCAATATTTCCAGAAATAAAGATGCAGAGTAGATCACTATTGTACCATTTGCTGAAGGTTGAAACCATGCAGTGATTAATAACTACTTTATTTTTGGAAATATCCTTCTATAGTAAAGTATAAACGTGCATGGGATTACTTAATGTCACTGGACTGTACACTGGAAAGGATCAGAATGGCAAATGTTATGTTGTGTGCCTATTACCACAATCTAGAAAACAGAGGAATAACTAATGTCAGGCTTTGGTGGTGATGGTCTCTGCTAGGACATTCAATGACAACCTCTAGTCAAACACAGATGGGCTGGTTAGCCCATTAGAAGGCCCAGCAATGGAATCATGTGGTGGCTACTGGATAGGGCTTTTTGTAGCCTTGACCTTGGGCTGGGTGGCTCAGAGGAGGAGTCAGGAAGTGGGACTTTGCTCTGGGCCCAATACTGTCAGGAAGCAGGGTGACTTCTGTAATTGGAGGTCTTAATCATTTTTCTTTAGAAGGTGGGGGAGACAGGGAAATGCGGAACCTGTCATGGGATAAAGATGTAGAGGTCAGCCTCATTAGCTGGGGAGCTGCTGTCTGGTCATTTTCATAGATCTTTACTCAGACACAATTATGCAGTGGCTTTGAGTTGTTAAGGTCTTGATTTGTCAGTTACAGTGTGGCTCAGCTGGTGCTCTGTGGAGTCATTTATGCTTAACCTATACCATAGCCTACCTGTGAGTGCCCAGCGAACACCAAAGAAAGACATGCCAATGGTACCAGGCAGGAGCAGTGACTTAGGCCAAGATCCAGAGGACTTTGATCTCATGTGAAATCAGTGGTAGTGTGTATGCCATTAGACAAGGGCTTTATTTTTTAAAGTTTTTATTTATTTTTTGTTTTTTGAGACAGGCTCTCCTTGTAGCCCCAGCTAGCCTGGAACTCACTATATAGACCGCACTAGCCTTGATCTCACAGAGACCCACCTGTTTCTAGATCCTGAGGGCTGGGATTAAAGATGTGCACCAGCACACCCAGCTTATTTTTATTTTTATGGATATGTGTTTTGCCTGCATGTATATGTATGCACCGTGTGTGCAGTGCCCACAGAAGCCAGAAGAGGGGGTCAGAACCCCTGGAATTAGGGTTACAGATCATTGTGAACTGCCATATGGGTGCTGAGAACTGAACCCAGGTCCTCTACAAGGACAGCAAGTTCTCTTAGTCGCTGAGCCATTTCTCCAGTCTCCAAGGGCTTTATTTCTTAAACAAGAGGGTTCGTTCATGATTATTAGTTTAAGCTAAAAGCATATCAGGGAAGAAGTGGGAACACCCTTGGGGTGGTGATCGAAAGGGGACCCATAGAGGCCTCTGGGGTGCTAGTCAAGTTTTTTCTTGAGCTGGTGCTGATTACAGTGGCATGCTCGGTGCACAGGAGTTCACCAACTTCTGTTAGAATCTCAGCAGTTCTCTGTATCTGTTTTATACTTTATATTGAAAGCTTTATTTATTTGTTTATTAAATATTTTATTATTTTTATTTTATGTGTATGAGTGTGTTGTTTGCATGTATGTGAATGCACCCATATTGTACAATGCTGCAGAGGTCAGAAGAGGGCGTCTGATTCCCCTGGAACTGGAGTTAAGGACAATTTGTAACCTCCATGTGGGTGCTG